AAAAAAAAAAAAAAAAAAAACTGTTTCAGATCATGTGCTGCGGACGAGGCTTATCCGGTCCGTGGATCAGGTTAAGGCGATTTTTACCCCTTTTTACGCGTCCGGAGTCACCGTCAGAGAGGGATTTTCCACCCACAGCAGCTGACAAGAACGGAAATAAGGATTCGCTGCTGAGCTGTAGAAGCGTTACAAACTCCACAGCCGCATCTGAAAGCAGCGAACACGTTTGCTTTTAGTGGAGGAAAAAAAAAAAGGCTGAAAAAAAAAAAAGGCCAAACTGCTGCTCTTTCCCTAAAAATCTCTCGGTCACCAAATCATTGCGCGCTAAAGGAAAYATGGGGCTCTGCAGTTAAAAGTCCTCTGACAACGATGTGAATCACTTCTTTTAAATGCCTGTTTAAATACCAAACACTTCGCTGAAAGATTGATGTTACTCATGAGGGGTGGTGAGCAAGACATGCTCACAGAAATGTCACTCCAGCCTACCACCCCCACCCTCCTCAGCCTCAGCACGCCCACTAAAAAAAACACCGACACTGAATCATGACACATCACTGTCAGAACTGGCAAGAAAAAGGCAGTCTTGGTCAATTTTATGTTATTTGACATCATTCTGATTCACAAACCCTGCAACTGTTGTGCATCTTGTGTTCCTGGGAAAACTGCCCAGTAGATCAGAATAACTTGGACCTGAAACAAACAYGATGTGTAGGCCTAAATGTTTCATCAAGGATTTAATCCAACTGTTTATTTTAATTGAACTTCACAGAGTAGCTGCTGGAACAATAGAGCAACTGCTGTGCTATTTAAAAAAAAAAAAAAACGTTCACTCACTCTTATTTGTTCTTTGTAAAAATATGTGGTATAAAAATGTATGACTCCATATTTTTCCTGAAAGAGAATAAAGTCAGAATATTATGAGAACTACATGAAAAAGCAGTCACTGTATAAAATGCTGGGCATCTTGTGATGTTATACATTGGTATTAGTTTTACAAATAAGGAATCAAACTTATCATTTGCAGAACTTTGAAATAATTTTGCAAATGACATCTATTTCAAAAGGTGTTATTCTATTTTGACTTTATTTGGGTTTTATTTTAATTAAAAAATAATAATTAACTTGCTTTGACCCTGTACTGCATCGTACATTCTGATTAGGAACACAGTTATAATAGTTTTGGTCYAACCCTGTGAGTGTGAATGATCTCATGTGACATGGTGAGATTTCATGAGATGTGATATTGTTCAGATAATGTATAAAAGATGACATATGCTCAGATACTACCATGCCAAAGCTCATTTTTTATAGATTTAAGTTAATTGGTTAGTCTCTTTGAATTGGGTTAACTCCAAAAGTTTATCAGTTGTACCWCTATTGCCATTTTCAATAAATATTCATCTAGTGGTTCATGAGAAATTTTCCAAACACTACAGACCAACAAATACAATCAAACATGCTATTGTCTTTTGCTGTCAAGGCAAATAAATAAATAAATAAATAAATAAATAAATAAATAAGACACAAGGAGATGCCACAGAGGAGAATGTGGCACGGCAGAATAAAAAGGCTGAGGTGGAAGAGAAAGCGGCTGCAGAGACAGGAGACAGGTGTAAGTGGGAGGGGCTTACTGTCTATTTATGTGAAAGTACTGGCTGAGGGAGAAGGGAGTGATGTCACAGAAGAAACTAAACAGAACACAAAACAAAATATGAAAATACAAGAAACAGAACCAAACACAAGAATCGCAAAACAAATCAAAACAAAAAAAGACATTGAACACACARAAATTGGCTTAAACATAACCAAACCCCAACAACTGATACCTTGACTCACAAAACTGTTATAGTAGTACATTATTTTTTAAGCCTTCCACGTTGCTTTTCAGCAGTATTTATTTGGAAAACAGACTAATATTTAATAAAAGTGTAAAGCTGTGAAGTATTGTGTCGCATCACTCAGTAATCCTAATAACTTACTGTCAGAGAAAACTCCTCAATCACAGTTCTGTGTCTCCTGGTACTTGGTGCATAACAATATTCATCTTCCAAACTGTCACTTACTCTGAGGTATGTCTTGATGCACTGATGCAATCAAATTTATAAAAGTTCCCCTCAGAGACACTTTTGACGTATGACTCCTTCAGCTTATTGCTGCTGGTTTCACTGCATAACTTTGAACAGTTTAAACTCTTAACTTCAGGCACAAAATATTTTTAGACAGTAAACGTATATTGCTATATATCATGATCTACTGGTGATTGCCCGTATTTTGCAATGGTTGGTGATGATGAAAACCTGCTTATGTTTTTTTTTTTTTTTTTAATTTTAACCAAGAACATCAGTTATTCTGTTCTGAAACTCTCCAATCATCTGTCTTTCCTGTGCATGTCACTGCTCGTCATTATGTGAAGGTTATTCTTCTCTAACAAGACTCCAATAAGAGCAGTGTGTTGCCAGGGAACATTCTGGCACATCAAGGGCCGGAGGTTGAACAAATTAGTCATTTTTATGTTTCATTGGATCTGAACCAAACACAAGTTTTGGCATCATYTCTTTGTCCCAAGCTGATTGGTGATTCAGCAGTGATTATCACTTCCTCTCTATTATCCAGAGTGCACGACTGTTTCTTCTTTTTTCATTTTTATTTCCCAATGGTAAATCTAAAGATCCACTGCTGTCTTTTTTTGTGTCAGATTTTCTTTYACAACCTTTGTCGTTGATGATTATTTAACTAACTTTAGACACATTTGAATGAAAACAACCAGCATATTTTGCCATAATATATGGATTTTTTTGATCATTTGAGGAGTTTTTTAATGTTTCTAATTGATTTGGTTCTGCCATTGCGTGTCAATCAACCAGGTTCATCTGCAGCCACTTACTTTTCAGACTTTTACGTGTTTAGATTTGTCCACTTGTTTTAAAAATGCAAAATAAAAGTAAACTWCAAAGGTTTATCAGACCTTTTCAGAGTCGAGTGACTATCGGCTGCTTTTTCACCAAACAAGAAAGCAAGCATTTCATTCCAGCGAGGAGCTTGGGCTTTAATTAAACAAAAAGCAAGTTTTATTTCTAAGACTGAAACTGAGATTGCATGCTTGTTGACCTTGATGAAGTTGTGGTTGACAAAATAGTTTTACAAATTATTGTTTGTTGCCCTCAAATATGTTTTATATATGGYCCACTTGAATTTGAACTTGAACAGCCCTGCACAGCTATTTCAGAGTGCTGCTAAAAGGTCTCTTGTGTCTTTGCTTCACAAACTTCTGTCTGATTCAAGATTAGTGATTTTATCAGACTAACACCAGATCAAACTGCACTGACAGAGAATGAATAAAAGAACAAAGCCAGTGAGATAGTCATGTGCTAAAAAAAGCAWCTGGAATCTATGCTCAAATTATTTACCGACTATTATTTTTGTGCTTTGGATTCGCTTAGAAATGAGACATTGATCGCRGCAAAAATTTCCATTTAAACAGTTGAATAAAACTGAAAGCAAAGGCAATATGGATTACCAAGAGGCAAACTGTGCTAATAAAACAGAGCTAGGAGAGTTTCACAATTTAAATGTGTACAGTTGATGTGTTTTTATATTACAAAGATTTTATTGTTAGAAAATCACTTGCATGTGAGTTTTACGAACAGCCTCAGGATTAATCATGTTTAATCATTTAAACACACTTTTAGCAGATTCACAACATGCTGGTGTTTATTATCACAGTGCGATTTGCATGCCACACGGTGAGCTCTGTGTTGAGTAGATCATGGTCAATTACTGTCAAAAACAAAGTCAAAACATTTTAAGTGGGYRTCAGTCAAGTGATACCCATCATCCACACTCAACGTGTGGCTAGAAGGGAAATGTAATGGGGTATTTGTGTCTCATAAGGCAGGCTGAGAGCTGAGATTAATTTTTCATGGGCTCTGTGAAGCAAACACAAAGCTATCCCAAATGTGCATTTGGCTATTTATTACTCTCTGAACACGTTGGCAGAACCATTATTACCTTAAATATGAAGAGTTTGTCWGTGGTAACACAAGATCTAATCAGACTATGCAGATGTGTCCAGCGTCTTCTACTCTGCCTCCAGGAGGAACAACAACTGTGTTTAGAGCTCTAAAAATGAAGTAAATGTCCTTTTTTATTCCACACATTTCTGCCGTGTGAAGCTGGAGCCAGTTTTACTTACTTTAAAGATTCTCTGGGAAATTTATGGAGCAGCTGAT